ACACCTACATAAACGTAACGTAATATGACATCTATATAAATGTAATGTGACACCTATACATAACGTGACACTTACATAAACGTAACGTAACGTGTCACGTTACGTTTCGCAAACTTAATGAGTTTTTATTTTTTTAAATTGAATTTGAAAATGTTGCTGGTTTATGTTGGTGTCACGTTACGTTTCATATAAATATGATCTAGGGTAGTATTCAATTTCCTATATAGAAAATTGAATGTTGTCATAGATCATAAGTGTCACGTTACGTTTATGTAGGTGTCACGTTACGTTACGTTTATGTAGATATGATCAATGGTAACATTCAATTTTCTATATAGAAAATTGCCATAAATCATAGGTGTCACGTTATGTAGGTGCCACGTTACGTACAGATGTCACGTTACGTTTATGTAGGCATCACGTTACGTTTATGTAGGCGTCACGTTACGTTATGTTTATATAGATTTGATTTATGGTAACATTCAATTTCTGGTTTTACTATTATTTATGATATTAACAACTAATATTGAGGGTAAATGTGTCAATAAACTTCCCACAGGACTTATGGGAACATAAGTTTTTTAGTAAGGCCATATGTAGTGTACGGGGAAGAAATAATTCTCCTCGTATAATCCTGTTGACTAAGTCCGCGCTCCTCCGTACGATGTCGCCTAATAGAACTTATAAATAATTTTTCCTTTCTCACAATCCTCATATCCAAACAAAAAAATATCAAAAGTCTATCCTAAATAGAAGTTTTTTAGCCAAATTAAAATAGTCAAAAAAAACAAACTAAATTTTTTTTCAACCTTAATTATTAAAAAAAAGCCAATATAATCCCATTGCAAAACAGAGAATTATAAATGTTATTTTAGTAGTAGGGTTACACGTATTAATCGATATATTAATATATATTATTACATTGTTAATTTTAAAATTATAATTTTATCTATTATATAAATTATAAAGATTCAAAATTATTTCATATCATCTCTTAATACACTTATCAATTAATGCATATACTCTGTCCATCTAAAAATAATAGTCCTTTTTAGGAAGTTTAATTTTTTTTAGTAGTACAATTATTACATTTTAAAAATATTAATTTTCTAAAATTATCCTTTGATACCACATTTTTTTAAGAATATCAATTGTCATAATTATAATTTCTGTGTTGTTAATGAATTTAAAAAAAGGATAAAATAAAAAATTTATATTATTTTAATTATTGATTTGTGAAAAGAAAATAATATTTTAAAACAATAACAAATAAACTAAGAGAGTAATATTTTGGACGGATGGCGTTATTCTTTTAACAAACCGCGTGATCCCACCAAGGATCCTCTAGAGTAAAATTTCTTTAAAATTTCCTAGAGTGCTACATTGTGTGGTTGAGATTTATTGGCAAATCACATCAATTTTTCTGATATGACTTGCCAGTAAATCTCAACCACACAATGTAGCACTCTAGAAAACTTTAGAAAAAAATTAGGCCAAGTTTGGCATAACCTAAATAATACAAAAAGTTAAAAAGTCACTATCCTATTTAAGTCACATCACCTTATTTAAATCACATCACCTCTCTAACACATCACATCAAACCCAACCCAAACCCAACCCATATAAGCTAATAAGTCAAAAAGTACACTTTTTTAGAACATCCCAAACCAACCCTACTCTAGAGGATCCTTGCTCGCGTGATCGTGGCGCTTATGAAGCCTCTAATCACGAGGGACACAAGCACAGCAACTGGACACGTGGCCTTATCTCATTGCTCATCACAGATAAGGATTTGTTTAGCAATTATATTTTTTTTTCTTTCTAAAAAGGCTTGTAGAAAAGATTAAAAAATGATTCGGTAAATATTATGATAGTGCTTTACTATGGTAGTGCTTTAAAAAATGATTGGATTTAAAAGTGCTTTACCCAAAATTTTATGATATTAATTATTAATATTTATAATATATATTTTTTATAAATATTTTTCACTGACACTAGGTCAGTGTAATGGGACCAAAAAAATTACACAAATATAGTGAGTGCAAATCATCTTGTAATGGGGTACGACTCAAATTCTATAGAGGTGCAAGTCGAATGTGTACTTTTTTATGTTTATATATGTTTTTTTGTTATTAGGGTAAATTACATTTACCTCCCCTGAGGTTTCTGACAAATATAGGGACTTTCCTATGGTTTGAATAATTACAGTAACCTCCTCTACTTTACCTGACAATGTCAAGATTCCCCCATTCCGTCAATTTTGTACAAACAACGTTAGTTGTCTATACAAAATGACCATATTACCCCTTCATTTGAGTGCAAAAAGACAAAAGACCCTTTGTTCACTTCCTCATACAACCTTATCATGTACCTCATTCTATTTGATAATTATCCATCTTCATCTCTTTTACCTCTGCATTTCTCCTCCACTACACCTAATTTCTACCTTCTCCCTCTACCTTCTTCGACTCTCCATTGCCACTAACCTCTAACTTCATAACCCCTAACCACCACAAATCTCCATTGCCCCAACCGTATACGCTACTATATCTCAACAAGTAGAAAATCGAGACACCAAACCCATGAGGAGCACAGAACGAGACAACAATGCCAAAGAGAGACAGAGAAAGAGATACCGAAGACAGATTTTCAGTAGTGTCGATCTTGATCTTGCTGGTCTTGTCGATCATCATACACTACCAGATCTCATCGTCTTAATGTTCGTCGTTGTAGGAGTTCATGGTGATTAGTCTTTAAGGGAGGTGGCACCGGCGTCCATGGAGTTCTTGATCACTATGGCTGTAGATATAGTCGTGTTTGTTTTGATTTCGATGTTGCTTGTTAGAGGTTAAAAACAAAGAAAGTGGAGATTGAGGTTGAAACAAAAAGGTTTGTCGGCAGAGGGGGAGATAAAGAGAGGCAGTGGTGTGTGTGGAGGGTTTGAGGGCAAAAAAAAGAGATGGAAGAAAGAGTGAGACATTAGGGCAGTGAGTGGTAGAAGTTGAACCAGAAGATGGAGATAGAAACAAAAAGGGGAAAAAAAAAATTCACCTTGTTCTCCTACCATCTTACTCTTTCTTCTATTTCCTCTTTTTCCCCATGGATGACCATTTATTTTCTTCTCTCTTTCATGCTCTCCAATCAAAACTCATCTGCTCTCCCTGTTTTAGTTTTTCCTTCTCTCATTTGTTGCCCACTCTTATCCTTTCTAATTTAAAACCAAATCACACCAAAAAAAATAAACCCAAATTCCAATTAAAAAATAATCACAAATCTATATCACCATCCAAGTCTTCCAAAGACTTGATTGAAACCTGAAACAAAGATTTAATACAAAAAATCTCATTAAAGCTTAAATCCAGAGCAAAGAAATAAATCTCAAATCAAATAAAAATCCAGATGAAATAATTTTATCTGAATATTGTGTTTTTGTAATTAACATTCTAACATTATTTGTGTGTTTAATCTGATTGCTTATGAAGCCAAATGGACTACTGAAGGTTTTGATTTGGTTGCCTTTGAGAATGGTAAGAAGAGATGAAGAAGAGAGTTGGTCGGTGATTGTGCTCTGTTGGTCAGTCGGTGATTGTGCTCTGTTGGTCAAACGTTAAAAGGAAGGAAGCATGATTGTGTTGTGTTGGTCAAAAAAGTAAAAATGAAGCATAAGAGGAATAAAAAAATAAAAAAGTAAAAAAAGGATAGATTCAATCTCATGTAACCCAACTCATAGAGTGTTTCAAGACATTTGAGGGCATTATGGGTATTTCACTATTTATTTTTGATGACATCGTCAATTTCTGTTAGTAGTGTGAACGACAGTTAAAAAATGGAGGAATCTTGACATTGTTAGGTAAAGCAGGGGAAGTTACTGTAATTATTCAAACCACAAGGGAGGTCCCTATATTTGTTAGAAATCTCAGGGGGTAAATGTAATTTACCCTTGTTATTACAATGTGTAGTAATTACACCACGGTGGGTATTTCAAAAAAAAAAAAAAATATACATATATATACATATTTACTGAAAATTAATAATTTTAATTATTAATATTTATAATTTTTTTAAAAGGATATTTATCAATAAATCCCATCTTATAAACAAGTACTTCAATTAGTCTTAAGTTTTTTTAATTGATCTGTTAAGTCCTATTAGTGAATAATTTCTTTTTGTGTGGTTCTATTTTCGATTTTGGTAGTGTTTTGGTGGACGGTTATACCATTTTATTAATGTGACATTGATGATGTGACACTCCAATATGACAGGTATTAATGTGACACTCCAATGTAGAGGGTATGATGTGACACTAAAAAAACTAAATGATGTAATACTCTAGAAAACTAAAAACTCCTTAGTGTATTTTTTCAAAATATAATATATGACACTCTAATGTAGTGGGGAAGATGTGATATTCCAAAAAAATTAAAAACTATAATGTGATACTTTAAAAAAATTAAAAACTCTTTAGTGTACTTTTTTTAAGTGTGACACCGTGACGAGTATGATATAATACTATAAGAAAAATTAAAAACTCTTTAGTTCATTTTTCTCAAATGCAACATGTGACGCTCTGATATGACGGGTATGATTTGACATTCTAAAAAACTTAAAACTTCTTTAGTGTACTTTTTTCAAATATAATACTCCAACGTGGCAGGTCTGATGTAACACTAAAAAATTCCTTATTGACACTCTAACGTGGCAGATAAATGGACCATTATATATCTAAAAAGACTAAATAGATCACATGAAAAGAATATAAGACTACATAAATTATAAATCTAAAATATTGGACTTATCGATTAATTTCTTTTATTTATTTATTGATTTATAATTATTTTTGCAATAATTCACTGAGATATTTCCCTTAAAAATTCAACAATTTGATAACATGAAGCAATCGCATCAGAGGATCCGGTGCCTTCAAGTTCCATGCGGTCCACGCTTCCTACACAATAAACATAAAGTATTTAAGCATCAACGCATTACTATACACAGCTCTCTCTCTCTCTCTCTCTACTCTCACTCTCTCATATACACAGCTCGATCATCATGACTGTTGAAACTCTACTCTCGACTCAGCCGGATAGCGAGCGTCAGCCCACGCTCTGACCGAAGACAGACCTTTAGGGAACTCTGTCCACCGGATCAACTATATGTCGGGGCTTCTTCTTAACATTAGATGAATGGCAGCGTTTGGCAAAAGTAGCTATTAAACTTGTAATATGTTGCATAGGCTTCCTTTAAATTCAAATCTACCGGATATTAAACACAAAGACAGCAAATAAAGCTCCTACCGCGCCAGAGAACCGGGGTACTCTCACTCTCTCATATACACAGCTCAATCATCATGACTGTTGAATGCCCAGAAACTCAAGGTGGTTTCCTCTCTCTCTCTCTCTAAAAATTCAATTTTTTCTTGGTAATTTCGATTACTCCTTCCATCTCAAAATAATAATTTTTTAAAAAAAATTTAACTTTTTTTTAATAGTATAATTATTACATTTTAAAAATATTAAATTTTCAAAATTATTATTTGATAGTATATTTTTTTTTTGTAGAAATATCAATTATCATAATTATATATTTTATGTTGTTAATAAATTTAAAAGAATGACAAAATAAGAAATTCATATTATTTTAGTTTTTGATTTTTGAAAATAAATTAATATTTTGAGATAATAAAAAATAAAAAAAGAGATTAATATTTTAAAACGAAAATAGTATTTTATTTTCTTTTGATTTTCGCTGAAGGTTTCTTGGATAGTTGGATTAGTTGAGAGTTGACAATCTCTGAGTTGAATCTTCAATCAAATTGAAACCATTTGAATCCAAATCTACATTTGTTGAATAAGGTGAAAGTCTAATTAATGGAGATCTCAAATTGTTACTGTTAAGTCGCCACGGCTAGGGATGACTATTTAAATTCGATTCGTGGGACTTGTTTATACTTGTCTGAATGGGACAGATTTTACCCGTCTCTACATTTATGTGGGGCGGGGTAGATTATGTTTTGATCACCCACAACGGGGGTGGGGCGGGAGCGGATATCTCAGCTCTCGATCCAAACTTGACCCGATATAATTAATAATATATAAATAAACAATATATGTATATATATATAATTAGATATAAAAAAATAATATTAAAAGTTTATGATTTTGTTTAAATATATATAAATAATAATCTTAAAAGTCTCACTGTTTATGTATATGAAAATAAAAAAATTATTTGGCGTACTAAAAATTTAAATGGTTATTAATTTTTTTGACTATTTGAAATGTGGTCGGATATCCGGGGTATTAGGTATCTGTGGGTAATGCGCAAAAGCTTCTCTATTCTCGCCGTTTGTGCATGCATACATTATTATCCAAGAAGACATTTTGTGCAAAGCTATTATTCTTTCTCATAAAAACCAAAAAAACACAATATGAAAAAAAAAAAAAAAAACCTTAAGTCATTAGGAAATGACATCTACAATGGATTTCAAGGTAACACTATGTCTCTTTCGACCCCGGACAATTAGATCGATAAATAAAGGGTAAATTACACAGTCTTTTCCTGATATATGAAAAAAATATACAATAATGATTGAGATTCCTATTTTTTTTGAGACCCCACAACCCCTTTAGATCTCAACCATTGATGGTGTGAGTCCCATACATATATGATTGGGTCCCACACATACATTCATAGTTGAAATCCAAAGAGGTTATGGGGAATGAGGTCGGTGATGTGCCTTATAGGCATAGCACTGTGTTGTGAGCCTGTGAAGGCACGTCCTAAATTTATTTTAATGATCCGAAATGTTCATAGTGTAAGGTTCGTTGAGTAGATCATTCATGAAATCATTCATGAAACAATTCAAGTTAATTAGACATCTGGAAATTACAATAAGACTACGGTTATGTTTAGAAAAATAAATGGTTAGTATGATTTTAATAATTTTTTAGGGTTATTATTCATCTTGATCATGTGTTTATATTTGTTCGATTAATTTAATTTTTTATAAGGATAATATACTCAACAAATCTTATAATATGAACGGTTCAACAAATCTTATAATATGAACGGTTCAGATTATCAAAATAGAGTCGGAATAAACCATATGGTGTGTGACAGCACCCACTCCCAATCCGGGGTTATGGGGGTCTCGAAAAAAGGGGGTCCCAAGCATTTTTCAAAAATATAATAAGTCATGTAGTTTTGATATAATTATATTGACCTCTTTTTTATTAAGTCAAAATTAATGGAGTTGGTATGCAGAAACAGATATACAAGGTAAAATAAATATTTTAATGTAACAGAAATGATAATATTATTTTTTTTCTTCATTCATACGACTAATGAATTTATGATGAAAAAGGGTCAAAAGTGTTATATGAATAAAAACCTAAAGGAGTGAAGTGTAATTATGCCAAATGTGTGGGGCTTACTATATTTTATAAGAGAAACTTGATGATTTGAATTACAGATTACAAACCTCTTTTTCATACTCCTCTCACCTATTTATATTACTTTCAGTAAATGTAAGAGAACGAAATTAGTTGTAAGTTGATCTCCAGTTTTACTTTGTTTTGTAGTTGCAAAACAGATCACAACAAAAGAGTTTCTCTGCTAACTAACTGATTAACTACTAATTTGTTTGGCATGCCAATTCTCGGATTTCTAGGATAATTATTTTGGTGAATTAGCGGGTTTGAATGGAGTAGAATTCTGCCAAAATGTGTGGCAAAATTTGTATTGGCTTCTCCCATCCTCTGCTTTTTAATGGCTTACACAAGCTGCTTAAGTTTTGTATTCTTCTTTGTAGGTAGTGAAATCATCTTCTACTTTAATCGTGATTTGGCAGTTCATTTAATTGAAAGACTTGGCTTCAATGAATGCAGATGAGCAACACAATGAGCCAAAGAGCTCTTATTTCAACTTACGAGCATTGGATATTTCTATTGCATTCCCCCAAGCGACTCCGGCATCCATCTTTCCTCCTTGCAGTAAGATTGATAAATTTTATTCTTATAAAGATTTATGGTATATTTTTTTGTTTTGTTTAAGGTTGGGTGTATGTTTTTTTAAATACTTGCATACATACATATGTTGATATTATGCTGATGTATGTTTGAAATTATAATCAATAGTCTTTGTTCCAAGGCCTATTTCAATACATGCAGAACTTCTGCACTGTGTTGCTAATTGTTTTTGCTCTCAAAATCAAAACATATATGCTTTCTGCCTGAAAACTAAAAGTTATTTATTAGATACCTTACAATGCCAGAGTCTTTGTACTAATTACCTTGAACTCCTATAATTACAGCTTCGGACTATTTTCAGTTAGATGACCTATTGACTCCTGAAGAACAGTCTATCAGGATGAAAGTAAGAGAGTATATGGAAAAAGAAATAGCTCTGATAATGGTGAAGGTATTTTCTTGTTACATGCCCAACTTGTCTGCAAGTGTTGTATAACTTTGTTGGTTTGTCTGATAGATGATGGTTGTATATGTTTTCCTGTGTATATTAAGCCTTACACATGCTTATGGCCCTTTATTTTATTATTTTAAACTCTTGACTATACAAAATTCTCTCTTTTTGCTTTCAGTACTGGGAGAAGGCAGAATTTCCATTTGATGTTCTTCCAAAGCTTGCTGCCCTAGGTATTGCTGGTGGCTCAATTAAGGTACTTCATGCATTTTGCTTTGATCTATCTTATTGAGCTTGTTATATTGGTATTTGGGAAATTCAATTAGTTTTTTTCTTCAAGGGTTATGGGTGTCCAGGTCACTCCATTACAGCAAGTGCCATAACCATGGCAGAAATTGCCAGAGTTGATGCAAGCTTCTCTCTTTTTTTTATGGTGCATTCTTCTTCGGCAATGAAAACTATCGGTAAGTTCTTGTTTTTTTTCTTTACTTTTCCCTCTAGGGTTTTGTTGTTAGAGATTACAGTTTTCCATAGTCGTATGCTAATGGGTGATAGATGATGAGGTCTCTGATACTTTCTTGGTTTATCAACAACAGCACTAGCAGGATCTGAAACACAGAAGCAGAAATATTTACCTTCACTGGCACAATTAAAAACTATAGGTTCTTGGGTAAGGATTTGTATTTTTTTGTTTTAGCATGTGTCTAGATTCCTAATATTACATCAGTAGCTGTCTCTGCTGCAAGCATGTAACTTTGATATTTTATTCACACAACAGGGTTTGACTGAACCTGGCTATGGAAGTGATGCAAGTTCTCTAAAAACAACAGCGACAAAGGTCTAACACCTTAAACCTTTATACAAATATTAATCTTGTAGAGCTGATCATGCTTCTTTTTTGCTTTTAGTTACCAAATTCTGTTTATTGTCTATAACACCTTCTTGGCATTTTATATACGTGTTGTGCCTTTTATATTTTGGGATAATCAGGTTACAGGAGGTTGGATCCTTGAAGGTCAAAAGCGCTGGATAGGAAACAGCACTTTTGCAGATGTGTTGGTTATTTTTGCTAGGAACACAACAACAAAACAGATAAATGGGTAAGCTATCTATGTGCAGTTGTCATATCCATACTATTATGAAGATGTGCAGCATTAAGGATGGATGTGTTCGGATTAAGAACACTTAGAAATCAATCACACACAGAAAAGACACAAGATATTTATGTGGTTCGGCAATTGTCTACGTCTACAAAGAGATTTCACTATAGAATTTCCCGGAGGGAGATTTCAAAACTCACACTCACTTTCTATAGATTTACACACACTCTCTCTGATTCTCTCTTGCTCTGATTGTGTTGTGTTTCATCCTTTCCTCCTCGCCTCAATTTTGTACACAAATGAGAGGGAACAAAGTTAATGAAGAGGAGTAATTGGGAGGGCTGCCACCTGCCATCTCCCCTCCTACTTCTTGATTTGGAGCCAACCTCCAATTACTCTTCACGTGGGCTAGAGCCAACAATTCTCTCCCTCCACGCCCATATGGATAACTGACTTCTTACTTGAAGTTCATCCCGGTCAAATTCTTGCAAACTTCCAGTTTGTCTCTGGTGACAACCTTGGTCATTATGTCAGAAAGATTCTTGTCCATGTTTTTCTTGCAACTCCCAGAAACATTACCAGTGCTTATTCCATATGTTTCAGATTTCTGGTAAAGAAGGATGCCCCTGGACTGCAAGCTACTAAAATTGAAAATAAGATTGGCATGCGGATGGTCCAAAATGGAGATATTCTCCTTAAGAAAGTTTTTGTTCCTGATGAGGACAAATTACCTGGTATCAATTCTTTTCGGGACACAAACAAGGTATGGCAACAAATGGGGTTCTATTAACTGTGTTTTCATGTATAAATTCCTTGGTTATTATATTAATCTCGGTGGTATGATGCTTTGGTCCATTATCATGCTAGCAGTTTATCCTGTGGATAGATTGGCATTGCTAGTTTTGGAGTTTAATTGTTTGTCCTCGTTGATACATGTTGTACTTCAAGTTGTTCCATAGGCTCATAATTTATCAATGTAATTTAGCTTTAGTTTTTTACTGAGTAGCTTTGTTTTATGTTTTACAGTTTTGTCTTTTTCACCTTTGATTATTTGTGTATTATTGTCATATCAGTCTCCTGACTCCCCTCCCTCACTCCTGAGAGAGAGAGAGAATATATATATATATATTATTATATTTTTGGTTTTTAGTTGGGGACGGGGCTGCTCTCTATTCCCTTATGTCAATGTACGGTTCTTAGTGGTTTATTTACTCATCTACTTACTGCTGTCTAAATACAGGTCCTTGCTTCTGCACGTCTCATGGTTGCTTGGCAACTTATTGGCATTCCAATAGGTGTCTATGATATGTGTCACAGGTATGATATAGCATGGGGGGATCTCACTAATGTTCAGCTTTTCGGTTATACCTTAGTGAAAAGGTTATTGAGCCCTCTTTGTCCCCTCCTCAAAATCAAATTGTGAATTCTAAGTAAAATTAGTGAAGTAAAGCAGTGGAGTGTTGCAAGTGAAATTTCCATACAGGGTGATCCTCTCGATAATAGTTTGGGGGTAATTATCACCCCTGATTCTGTCGTTGCAGCTTTGCATACATATATGCCTCTTTTAAATATAGTTTCAAGCAAAAGAACTCCCACTTAAGTTTTAAAAAGTGAAATTTGAAGATAGAATTTCGCAGTCAGAAGCCTTTTATTTATAATTTGTGTCGAAGTAGAGCTTTGGCCCATTATTTTATATTTTATTTTCATCCTTCAGTTGATGACCATGCGATTTTTATGTAATTGACAGGTACTTGCAAGAGAGGAAACAGTTCGGAGTGCCATTGGCAGCTTTCCAAATTTCCCAGCAGAGACTAGTTCAAATGTTGGGTAATATTCAAGGAATGATTCTAATGGGTTGGCGCCTTTGTAAGTTGTTTGAGAAGGGAACAGTGACTGTTGGTCAAGTTAGCTTAGGAAAGGTAAGAAATGAATTTTTATTGTAGGGTAAATTTTTTACTTAAATTTTGCTTACACTTTTAGTCAAATTTCAATTTGGTCCTTCCATCAATTTTTTTGTTAATTTTTTTTGTGCATACACTTCTGGAGATTGATAAGTGTCCTAAAATTGTTTATTTGAACCTTCAACTTGAACATAAGGACCAAATTAAAACAATATTGAAAATATAGGGACCAAATTATTCAATTTGAATCAAACTATAGGGGTGAAAAGTATAATTTACCTATTTTATGTTGAGGTGATACTTTGCTTGATTTAGCACTGGTGACAAATTTGCTACATTGTTCAGTCTTGGATTAGCTTGAAAGCAAGGGAGACTGTAGCTCTTGGGCGGGAGTTACTTGGTGGCAATGGAATCTTGACGGACTTCCACGTTGCAAAGGTTTTCAAACATATCTTAATTTCACATCTTTCCCTTTATCTTGAGCTGTGAAGGATTGGATTTTGACTTTTCTAGATTGTGATGTTTAGTGCCTTTTTATAGCTAAGATTCCTCGAATGATAAAAAATAAGATCTTAGACACTTCATGAAGAAAAGAACAGACAAAAAAGGAATAGGTTCTAAAGTTATGTGTTTATTGATATCCAATCCAAAAGTGAAATAGGATCTGAATTCATACTTGTTTATTAAATCTTATTGGCTTATTACTACAGACAAGAGTATGAAATCAAATGATGTTGTCAAACTTATTGTAGGAGAATGATGCAATGTACACAGAATGTGTTTTTATTTTGAGAATCCTTGGCACATAATTCAAATCATTGGATTGAGAATAGTTTTATCTAATTTATCATGTAATGGTCCTTGGATTGAGGATATTAGTTATTTTATTCTTGACAAGCTGGAAAGGAAGAAATTCTCATGTCCGGTTTTATAGTAGAGAATAGAGATGGAGTTTAGAAGAAGCCATCAACTATAACCCCAAAAGAACCCTAATTCCCTAAACAATTAATGTAGAAGAAGAATGATGAGACCCTATGAATTCAATAATTTCTTGATTAGAAAAAAAAAATTTAATGGCTAACCTCCTCCCATTAGGTTTTTTTTTTTTTTGGTTGAAGGATTTGCTTCATTAATTCAGAGAGCAATCATGTGAGCTCCTTTTAATGTGGCAGTTCTTCAACAATTGAGGATTCACTGTATCTATTATTACTTTACATGCTTCACGTCCGTACATTGCATAATATTCATTGGTTTCAAAATGATTCTATGGAATGTCGTTTCTAGCTTACTTTTGGTAGGCCAGCAATATACATATTTACAATATATATTTGCTTTTAGTTCGTATTCTATACTGTTGCCCTTGGCTCCATTCTAATTTGTTGGCTATTTTAACGAACCATTGACCTATAACATTAATATTGACAGTCTCATTGTCGGATGTTTTATAGGCATTTTGTGACTTGGAGCCGATTTACACAGGCGAAGGCACTTATGACATCAACACATTGGTTACAGGCAGGGAAATCACCGGGATTTCTAGTTTCAAGATAGCCGCATTGACACAACAAAGTTGCCTGTAATGTTGTAGAATACTTTTCTTTTAGCTAATACATAAATATTTTGAGAAGAGGGTAAAAAGTTGGCCTTTTGATTTTTTTTTTGGATTTTTGACTTTTTTATATGAGAGGAGAAGTGGATTAAAAATTGAGAAGCGGCACTTAATCCACTTCCCAAAATGAGCTATAATAAAATGTCTTGCTTCTTGCCAGGGGTGGAACTACATAAATCAAATAAAGAAAGAGTTGTTTGATTACACCTATCTTTTTTAAATTTATTTAATTTTTTTATCAGCAAAAATCAATTGTTAAATTAGTAATTTGGGGAGATTGAGCTCCCAACTTCTCTCTTATAAGTATCTAAGTGCTGCCTCCATACCACAAGGTCACATGCATTTGATTACACCTACTTAAAATGCTTATGTTATTTTATTTATTTTTGGATAACTTACGTTCACCTCTTCTAAAATTTGAAAAAAATTATAACAAATTCTATCATTTTCGCATAATTATACTATACAGATAGTGTGGAACACAATGATAAGCAAAGAGAGTTTTGTGGGTTTGGTATTAGCTTGTCACACTCAACATCGTCGGATTTGGGACTGATTTTGCATGAGACTAATTGATGATCAAAGTTATGAGTAATTATTCTGTATTTCGATAATTTTAAGTTTGACAATTTGCCTGTCAAATAACAAGAGGCTATGGTTCAAAAAACAAGAAACTTAGGTCTTGTTTGTTTTCAAACGTAGAATGAAGGAGATTAATAGTGAGGGAATTAAATAATATTGTGTTTGTTTTGATGATAGTGGTTAGTGTAGGAATTGTTAAATTATTTTTATATAAAATAATAAAACAAATAAAAAAATATAAAATTAAACATTAGTGTTTAAAAAAAAATTCTCAATATGTAAAAAATATATATATTTTTTAATCACCTCACTATTTTTCTAATACCATTTCCACTTCTTCCATCCCAATCCCCCTTCTAACCTCCATTCTAATCACTTTTTCTATCCTAATTCCTTTCCCAACTCTACAGACAAACACAATACTAAATAACTTCACTTTCATTCTAATCCCCTCCCATTTATTACACCAAAAAACAAACGGGCCTTAATGAAAAAAATCTCAAAATCTCATTTAGACAATCACGAAATGACGTCATATACTGAATCTATGTAATTTTTACAAATCCACATGGAGAGGGTGAAAGAGTGCACAGAAACAAATGCAGATGATTCTGACTATGCCAACTTTTTGCCATTGTTCTCCCATTCCATTTCTAAACATTATTATGTGGTGTTTGGAGCAGTTGGTAAAAACGTAGGCTCCGTTTGGTAAGTAATTGAAATTATAATTTTACCTATTGATTTGAGTGTATTGTTTGTTTTGAGCTTTTAAATTATAATTTTATACTCATTTTTCAAAACTCAATTCAAAATATAATCATTACTTTTCAAAACTCATAACCAAACACATAATTCAAAACTCTTTTCAAAACTCAATTCAAATCAATATTTTAAAAATATTTTAATTTTGTTAAGATTTTAAATATTTTAATATTTAAATATGTTATGATTTTTTTAATTTTTTGAATTTTTTAAAATATTTTAATTTCAAAATATTACGATTTTAATTTTTTAAATTTTAAAATATTTTATAAAAATAAATTCAAACTCTATTTTATAAAAATATTTTTAAATATTTTAATTTTTTTTGTTATGTATTTGGTTACGATTTGAGTGTAGAATTGTGAAAGTAGTATGAAGTTTTGAGTTATCTGTTTGGTTATGAATTTTAAAAATAATTTCTTAATTTTGTTTTATGTGTTTGGTTACGATTTGAGTGTAAAGCTGTTTTAAATTTAAAATTTAAAATTATTTGAATATTTATTTTAATTTTTTACTTATTAATTTTTTTAGATTATTTTAATTATTTAAATATTTATACCTACATTGTTCGTTCATCTGTGCCCCTCTGTCCGAGATCAAACTTGCCGACCTCAAAGTTTCCTGGACTTTGCCGCCCACTGGTGTCAAGAATCAAGTTCCATGCTTTCTAAGCTGCTTGAGATCATACCTCCTAGCCGAGGTTCTGGTTTCATTAATTCGTAAACTCCATGAGCTTTGCAACTGCTCCACTCACACTCTCTGGTGGGTTCCTGACTTCCAGTCATCTATTTGACTCCGGCGATCTTCATATCGGCATTCATTTCACTTTGTAGGTTCATAAACTCTTTACTTGCTATTAAGTTCAATCTTTTATAACTCTTCTGAATCTGTTTACTTTGAATCTGTTTATTTGCTCTCTGTTGTCTTCTGTTCTCGTCTGTTTTCAAGTTTTTGATTTCTTATTGCTAAAATGCCTGGAATTGTTCTTTGTCATATCCGCTTTCTGTTGCTAGCATCATGTTTGGTTTATTGCTTTCTTGTTCTTCACATACTTACTTAGTGCCTGTGTATTTGGCTTTATTCTTTGAACTCTGTCATCTTCTTGACTATTTTTCTCTTTTTTCATTTAATCTTCTGGCTTTTTCTCTTTCTAGCTCTTTTGCTTAAATCCGTCGCTTGTTCCAAGCTTTCAAGCTTCTGCAACTGTCTTTGTTTCTCTCCTCCAGTGAAGCTTTACATCATTCTGTCAATGTCATCAGACTTCGGCAATTCTCATCCTGGCCTCCCTCTTTCTGGTAAGTCACCGTTCCTCCTGTTTTTATTTCTTGTTGCTTTCCAAGAAGCTCTGCTTCATTGTTAATTACCATTGCTTGTTTTACCCATTATTTCCAAATCATCTTTCTTGAATACACACTGTTCACACACATCTGTTGATTTCTACCACTGTTCTTGGCTTGACTCACTTGTACAGTTTTTTTGTCTTGCTTTCTTGATAGCTTCATCATCATTCTTGATTACATTCTTGTTTCTGTTTTTTGTGTCTTTTTTCAGATTCTTGTTTTCAATCCTTGCTTTTAAAACTCCGAGGTGCCAATCGCCAAGAAGGGCTTTTGATCAAACTCTTCAAGAGGTTGATGCTGAGCTTGTGACTGAGAAGGCTGTTGAGAAGTTCTTTCCAACTGTCTTCTGGGGGTGAGACACAGCCTGCCGCTGATGTCGAGTAGTTTTGCTTCCTTCTTGAAATTGATGCCGAAGTAGCAGTAGAGAAGCTCTTCCAACTGACTGCCGAGGCTGAACCATTGTCATCCGTCGAAGCAGATTAGTCCGACGTTCTTGCTTTCAGTCCCTAGTTCTTTAAGGTCTTCATTTTTGTACTTGCCAACCTTCTCAGCTCTTAACAAACTAGTTGATCATCCCGGTTGATCATATCTCGGAAACGTCTTTCAGTGTTTATCTCGGCTATACCGAATTTTTTTTTATTTTTAGGATTTTTTTGCTTTTAGTGAATATTTTTAAAATTTTAAACAATTTTTTTTTTACTTTTTTAGATGCTCCTTACTTAGATGTATCTAAATAATAAAATATTTGTGAAAAAAATATTTTAAAAAATTAATAAATACACAAAAATGTGAAAAATATATTGAATTTTTATATTTTTGGTATTTAGTAAATTTTGTAAAGATTTTTTTCACAAATATTGGACTTTTTAAGTGTAATTATGTTAGGTATGTCTAAAAATTAAAAAAAAAAATGTTTAAAATATTAAAAAAATTCATTGAAAACAAAAAAAATACGAAAAATAAAAAAAGTATAATTTTTTGAAAAGTGTTTTTTGAAAATCAAAACCAAACAAGCTGATTATTTTTTATTTTTTTTAAAATTTACTTTTGGGCTAAAATGATTTAACATGATTCCAAACAAGTAATTTTTTTTTTTCCATGCACATAAGATTTAGAGTAGAATGAAAGGCATTCGCCATGAGTCATTATTGTGTAATTATCTTCTTCTTCTTCTTCTTTTTTAATACAGAGAAAAAGAGTCGTTATTGTGTAGATGTTATCAATCAATGCATATGTATCATCATGCCAAAAATCAAGCAATTACTTTCAGAAAAAATGGCTCTTTCTCTTCAGTCTTTTACTTTTTTTTTTCTTTCTTTTCATTTGTAACTAAAAAGTACTTTTCAGGAGCTAAAAACATTGCGTAATTAAAACCAAGGCAACACCATTGTCAACTCTCAGCAACAAGCTTGTTTCCTTCCTATCTCACTCCATGAGCAGTAGATGTTGCTGCTAGCTTACCCTAGACCAGTAAAGAGTGTTTTTATTTTTCAACTTTTGTCTTAATATATTCTTAATTATAAAATTTAGTGAGAGTTTCAAGATTAAAAAAAAAAAAAAATGATGCATGAATATATCACTAGAAAGTATAATTGGAACAAATAAATTTAGGCTCTGTTTGTTTTGTTATTCATTTTCCTTTGTTTAATTAAACAAAACGTAAGTAAAGCATTCTTTAAAAAAAAATATTTTTAGTCATAATTCTTAAAACAATTTACCATTAACTTACAATCATGTGTGATTAGTGGGCGGCCTTTCTCATGGAATAGGTATACATATTATTTTGGCACTTGCAATATTTGCGATACCACTCACTCACGACCCACGTGTCAATCAAGTTTGATCGGCAAAATGACTGGCTCAATTGCCAATCTCTCCTTCTCTTATTCATGGCCAATGTCTTTTGATTAATTAATTTTTGTAATTTTTTTTTGTCTCGACAAGTATGTTGGTACACCTTTCTCGACCATTGATCTTATTCAATTGACCCCCCAATTTTATTTTTTTTTACCAGCTAGTCTTCATTTTGGTTTAGTCCTTTCTTACAAGTTTTGCATTATGTGTTTGTTTCCTACCACAGTACTACTTTCAAAAAAATACAAATGACCATCTAATATGTGATTAAAATTATTATTTTTTATTTATTTATTTATTTATTTTTTTAATGTGGTTGGATCTATACTTATGGCTTAAGGATTGTTTTGAAAATATAATTAAAAATTGACTTTTTCATTTTCTTTAATTTTTTTAAAAAAATTTTAAAAATATAAAAAATAATATAACCTAAAATGAGTTGAAAAGAAAGTAACTACTAACTTCCTTGCCAAAAGAGCAAATAAAAGGGTGTGGATTGAATCAAAAGCCTATTATGCATATGTCGTTCTGTCCAGGTCAAGTACCTACACATCCTTCTAGGGGTCCCCAGAGATTGTCAATAGAACTGAGCAATGATGAATTAACAATGTATATATAACTAACATCCTAGGACTAACAGAATTGCCATCCCATATTTTCAAGCAA